GGACCACACACAGCGCTCAGCCTCGCTCTGCGCCGTCTTTTCCCCCAAGTTTGGTGAGAGGTGGATATGGGGGGTCGCAAGAAAATAGCTCTCGACTTGATCTGGCCTTATTTAAATAAAAAATGACTACATGCCGTGAAATTCTTAGAGGGGCGGGCCACCTCGTTGGCCTGTATAATGTAGGGGAAACACTGGGATTTGTAAATAAAGCAGGTATGGTACAATTTCCTGCAACTTGCTTGAGTATTTTTGTTGTTTAAGTCAAATATATGTTTACTGATGACTTACCTCCAAGGTTCCTCAGGGTAAATAAAGCTCTGAAGCGTTGGGTCAGGTCCAAACCTGGATCAACAAGAACCCGACCTATTGCTGCCACCTGATCCACAGACGCCATACTGCAACACACAGAGACAATAAACATGAGCTCTCTGTGTTGGCTTCACATCTATTAGCTTCAACCTGTTTACACTTTTAAAAGTATTTTACTAAAGACAGACACAGCTGCCATCCTGGTTCAAATTGATGGATTTGTGATTTTACATCCCCTCAGAAATTATTTTTTATTGACAAGCTGGGTTGGAATTTCCAAAACATTTGTTTGCGATGTTTCAGAAATATATCCAGAACCACAGCCGTCAAATTTTATTGTTTGCAGCTAAGAGACAATGGAAGATAACTTAATTTATTTATGGCCAGTTCACAACAAAAAAGGCCTGTACTAAAACATTCACATACATAATAAAATTGCATTTAGCCAAACTTAAAGGAAGCCAGCAGCATCAAATCTTCACTTGATCACACTCTCCCATCAGTGTCCATGTGCATGTGTTCTGTCTGTGTTTGCAAAACAGCTCATCAACCACTTGACTCATTTTAAATAAAAATTTTCAAAAAGTACTAATCAGATGAGCATTTACAACAGATTAATTTCTGAAAGTGACCCAGTTCTTTTGGCTGTTTAAAAACAGCTGAAACACACTCACCACTCAGACAAAACACATCCACATGAAAAACTAAAAAACTTTACCTTTTTCATTTTTAAATCAAGATACATTAATTTGGCCTAATTTAAAGCCATTTAAAAACTATTTCATTCTTAACTATTGTTGTTTTAACTTTTACAAGTCTTGTAAACATACCTATGAGGCTTTCTTATGTTTTTTTTTAAAGTGAAAATATTTTGTGATTTTAAGATTTACATTACTGATGGTGCTGCTTAAGTTTCTATCATCCTTTTATTTGCAAAAAGTTTTTTTTGTAAATAAAAACGTAATATAATTAGTATGGTTTTATTCAAAATACTCTGTTTAAAATGTTATTACTACCTAAACGTTTACCCTCATTGTTTGTTTTGATTAATCTGACTTCCATTATTATTTCAAAGCGTTATAATGAAAATCTGTTGTTTTGACTCAACTAAAAACTGATTACATTTTATAGCGAGACTGTCTCATTATAAGCGAATAACGAGTAGTTTAAAGTAGTTTAAATAATAAAACTACATATCCAGTCGTCATACACTGAGCTCAGGTGAGGAAAAAATAGTCCACGCTGACACGAGACTCGGCTAAAGCTAAAGCTAGCTTCAGGTTGTCTGTGTCAGATAGTCCTGCGTTTAAAATGAAACTTTTCTCACAATCAACATAATCTGAAAGCCGTTCTATCGTGCTGAAGGTGTGAAGAATATACGGTTGTAAAACAGACCGACCTTAGGATGAAACCTCTCGTAAATTCTTCCTCAAATTCAGCAGCCGGACCTCTGAAGCTGTTCTTCTTCTTCTTTAGCCGGTTAACATCCAGTGAGGTGTATTACCGCCACCTACTGGGCAGCTGGTATTACGTCATTTCATCTTTTATTTTTTGCTGGATCATAATCTTTAAGGTGCATACTGCCACCTACTGTACAAGAGTGTGCAACTGCACAACCTCCACCTACTAAATTGCCCCCCACCCCCCACCCAGTTTTGTATTATGCAAGATATATGAATAATGATTTCCTAAAACTGATATCTTCTTTTTCATCTTCTGATCCTAAGATTCTTTTCAAACTGCATTCTCACCCTGCCTTCTTTAGTTTCCCTCAGCCTGTTTCAGATGAATACACTACCCTTGTCATTAGTATGTTTTATTTTCCTTTCCTCTACAACGCTCACACTTTTCGTTTGTCCATCACCCTGTTATATACAAAAAGTAATTTAGATATATATGACTTACCCCTAATCTTAATATCATTTCTCCATTTCCCAAATGGAATATGAACAGTTCTTTCCCACAATTATATACAATATATATATATATAC